TTCTCCTTCAAAAATGATTTTGTTTGAGAAGAAATATCAAACATTCGACACAGTGTTTCATCACCAGATGAAACACCTCGAAGTTCGTCAAAAATACTCCGCTGCGCGTCGTATTTTCAACTCTCTTCTCGGTGTTTCATCTGGTGATGAAACACTGCATCTCATGTTTGATATATTACGTGAAACGTGTTTTTCATTCTTTCTATCCAGGCTCATTATTGTACTTTCAGCACCTGGTTTCGATCTTACTTGCGCGAAGAAAACCGTCACCTTCGTCGTCTTTTGCATGACTCTCGCGATAAAGTAACATTTTCTGTCGCCAAGGCAACTGTGCGTGTTGCTTCGTCAGAGGTGGAAGCAGCTAAATCGAAGCTCGAGGACTGCTTGAGCGTGGTCAAATGTATCAAAATAGATGATTCCAACAATCCTAGAATCATCTCTCTTTATACATTTCGCCATCTCTGACTTTCCGCAGTGGAATCGAAGGCTCAGATGGTGGATTACAATAATCACTTCCGGTTCGAAGGTTTGGGAGACTACTTGACTACCAAGTAGTCTCCCCAACCTTTGAACCGGAAGAAGGTTTAAGATATGAGGAGCAGTGGGCTTCAGGTTCTGGAATTACAGATGAGGCTTCCGGTTCTGCTGAGGTCATATCGAGTGAGGACACGGAACTCGTGAGGACACGTGGTTCTGGAACTCTACAATCTCCAACATCAAATCAAAGATGAAGATGAAGATTGTGGAGTTCCAGAAAACCACTAAAACGCATCAGATAAGGACGAGTAGATGAAAGAGTTGTCCGGAGAGCTCAAGTCGGTTATATCAACAACCGCGTAGGAGAGGGCTTGAGGAGCATCAACCAGGATTCAGAGAGGTCAACAATGGTACAAGCAGTATGTCCTTCATGAGAAACTATATATGAGTCAGGAATATCGATCACCACGCAAGTGTTTTCTCTAGGGGAAACTTCCATTAAAGGTGTGGATTTGGGAGTGTCTGTTATGGTCCACGGAGATTGGGCATCAAAGTGTGTGGCTGCCAGCCGGTAAGATGACAGATTTGGTTTGGGTTTATGACTAGCAGAGTCCCTTGAAGTCCGCCGCTTCTCCGGGGAGGGGGTTACTCAACAAATGTTTATACGGGGAGGCTCCGGCCCGAGGTCCAACCCCTTACCCTTTTATATACCATTTTTCAGGATAAAGGCACCTCTTTCGTATGTCTTCTATTGACAAATGGTACCTCTTTCATATACCTTGTTTACAACTTTGGCATCCCTTTAATTAACTGCTGTAAATGCACTGTCTTTTAAATAGGAATCAATCAGAAAACAGAACGTTTCCTCGACTTTGTAAAGCCATTAAATTCATCTGTTAGCACTTTTGGACCCTTTCTCTGACCCAAACGTTATATTTCCCTAGCCTTTAATTTCAATACTTCAGCTAGTGAAATCCCTACGTACCATTTCATATGCATGAGGCCTGAAAAAGATACCCCTTTCGGGCGGTGCCTCCCCGTCAGGTGGTCCTCTTCCTCGCTAAGTTACTCGCTGGGGTTAGTCACTGAATTAAATTCCAACCAAGGTCAGGATATTTTTATTTTCTCCGTAAGCATCCTTTCTTACACATTCGCCTGCAATTAAAATTACAGAAAATAATATGCTATTGTGGACGATGGTGAAGGACAGGAGAGTGTCTGAGTTCAGAACTAGCACTAAAGCTTCAAAAACTACAAAACTGCGCATGATGGGCTTTCTTTTTGTTTGCAAGGCTGGTCATTAAGAGTCGACTCAGTGCTACAGGACCTTACTGTAAACGCAAATGTAAAAAATGTTTTATATAAGTTTATTGTGAATTTAAAATAATGCTATTCATAAGCAATCACTAAACAGTGTCAAGTATCAGTTCCTGTCTTAAAAACATTCTTATTTGATATTGGCAATTGATACAGAGCCAGCCTTGACTAAGACAATTTCATAAAGAACCTCCGATTATATATCACACAAACGAGGAACGTCTCTTCCAGTTTCAGTAGTTGGCCCCATCGCAAAGCGCTCTCTCGCTCCCTTTCGCCTCAGAAAACAAAAAAAAATCTGCCGCTTGCGCTTGTGAAATATTGAAACTCGGCTTGTAGGCAAGTCTAAAAGCGCCGTTGAATTTAAATCGCGCGCGATATTACAACGTGTCGTTACATTGCGTTGGCAATATTGCGGTACTAAAACTGAACTTTGTAATATCGGACGAATTTAAATTCAGCGGCGATTTCAAAATATGTAACACTGAAGATGACGGATGTACCGTTGAAACACTTCTGGTAGTTATGTTTATGCACAAAATCCAATTAATTGTTGTAGAATGAAAAACTAACGTCATAGACGAATAGTTATTCTATTTTTGACGCCATGCTTGGTTTTGACGGCGCGCGCACCGTACCTCGCGCTCAATCTCGACCCCAGAGCTCTTCCGCACGTGACCGCCAGAAGCGTAAGCACTGGGGTCCAGAATGAGCGCTCAAAGGATGAGGACGTCACGTAGCAACGGAGTGGCGTGTAAACATACAAAAATTAACGGCTTTTCGTTTTTTTACTTTCTTGGTTATTTTCCAGTTTAAATTTCAGTAGATCAAATTGAAAACTAGTGTTCTTTCAAGGGCTTGAGCAGTTACGGAATCGGTTCACAATTATGAGAAAATCATCAAATGCCTGGTCAAAAGACCTGTCCGGTTGATCGACCGCAGGCAATTATGTGCCCACAGCGACGCTCTCTAAACAAATGCACATCCTACCATTTGCCAGTACTTTTAAAGATCGAACGACTCCTTACCGTTACAAACTTTGCTGTAGAATGAGTAGGGCTGGAAAAGCCAATATGAATATCGTTTTCAACTTCATTTTCGCTTTGGATTAGATTGAAAGGAAAATCCAATAAATTCTTGTCGAAGAATAAAAGGCTAACGTCATAAACGTAAACACGTTCTGTTTTTGACGTCATGCTCGGTTTTGATCGCGCGCACCGCACCTCGCGTTCAATCGCGAGCCAGAGCCCTGGTTCCCATAACCGCCTGAAGAGTAGGCACTGGGGTAGAGAACGAGCTCGCAAAGGATGAACACGTAACCTGGCAGTGCGATAGTGTGAAACAAACAAATAAATATAGTTTTCTATTTTATTTTTATTTTTTCCGTTTTAAGTTTTAAAAGATTAAATTGAGAACTAGGGCTTATGCAGTTGGGCATTTGGTTCACAATCTTGAGATCATTAATTGCCCGGTTAAAAGGCCTGTAAGGTTCTATGACCCAATGCGCTGTTTTTTGCCAGCGTCGTCTGTTGAATTATTGCACATCGAGTATATGTACCAGATTTGCTACTACTAAAAAGTGATGCTATTTCAAGTACGGCAGTGCAAGCAATCACTGTATCAAATCTTAAGAAATTACGCGTCAGCTCTTAGACACCAAGGCACGCTCGCCGAAAGGCAAGCGCTTTTAAAATGCAAAAACAGCATTCCTATACTAAAATAAACGAGGCGGAATTTAGAGGAAGATGAATTCCGTCCTTACCTTTTGTTCAACAGAAGGAGTACACAAACCATGCAATAAAAATATAGTTTTCCGTTTCATTTTCGCTTCGGATTAACACGAGAGTGAAATCCAACGCATTCTTTTCAAAGGACGAAAAGCTAACGTCACAAAAGCAGGTTTAATAATTTCGCCTTCGATCGATTTTGCGCGCGCGCTCTTTTACACGTAGTTAAAACAAATTTTCATGTGGCTATCTGAGAAAATGACATTACATTGATCTTTACTATATATCAAAATGCATTTGAAGCTTTAAGTAGAAAAACCTGGTATTATCTATTGATTTGGATTTTGAAGAGGTGAATTGGCTATCGTAAAGAGATCGAAGGATTGCAACTGGACGTTTCGAACGTAACTCCCTCTCTTCACGGAAGATAAGCTTCACTTTCAAAAGCGTCTTTTTTTTCTTTTTTTGTCAACACTGTCACAGATGACCTTACAAAACTTCGTTTCACTACAGCAATTAATGCATTTTCATCAAGGACCTTTTGCACGGGTATTTTCCAATTTCGGTAAGCTTAGAACTCCGATGAAAGCGATAGGCTATTGTAGCCTAGTCGCCCCCGTCCGGCCGAGCGAGCAATTTGCCACTGTTTTCAAAAAATTACCTGCTTCTCGTATGTGCAAACATCTAACGATAAAGAACTCAAGAAACCACAGGGAAGCCGCCCTCTCATTGACTCTCAGTAATGACATGTACTCCACCGTGTGGCACAAAATTTTTTCGGATTGTTCAAATTTTTGCGATATTTTCCAGCGACCCGCAAAAATAAGTTCCCGCAAATAAAAATTACTGCAGACATTTTTCCTGCGAAAATTTACTGCAGCGTAAATACTTTCTTACTTAAACCCGCTACACAAACATACAGTACTACTGTTTAATTACAACTTGTCTCTTTCGTTCAGAAACAAAACGGTATACAATGGGCGGGTAGGTGAGAATCCTGGGAACGAGGTTGAATGAAATACCGGTACTGGTTTTACATAGGGTACGTCTCGGTTGTATTGTTTGAAAATATGTAGTTCCATTGCACGTGCTCAATAAAAACGAACGTATTATCAATGCTGGGTATCGGTATTTTCTGGAAATCGCAAAAATTAATTCTCAGCAAGAAAAACCAATCTGTCCTAATCGCAAAAAATAGTTCCCGCAAAACACAAAAAACCGCCAATCCGTAAAAAATCTCCGGTAAATTTGTGCCACATGATATCTCATTCAAGTATTTCTTTTCCTTGTTATGCAGAATAATGCCATGTCCACATTATATCGGATAGTTTTTGCTCCGGTGAGAAAATCATACCGGAGAGCTTCTTTTCACCAATAAGAATAGCGATTTCGACGCAATATCTGTAATGGAGTGAAGCTGCGGAGCGTGCCTTGTCGTATAGGTTCTGTGCCAGACCGGCTTTGGTGCAGTACAGTGTGAACAGGTATTCTGAGCGTAGCAGACCGGTCAATATTTATCACCTAGGAGGATAAGAGGATTTGCGGGGTGGGGGGGAGGGGGGTCACATGACTTTTAATTAGTTAAAAATGGGCACTAAAAAGTCATAAAATAAAATCGTGGTTAAAACCTAGTGGAAACAGGATTTTTCACAAGTTTATTCAATGTAACTTGAATGGCTTTATTTATACATGAAGCTTTCAGTAAATCTTCTGGTTACCTGGGATATACACAGTATTTTTTTAAACTTTCCATTATGCACCTGACAATTGTGCATGTAAGTTAAAAGGAAATAAAATTATTTTGTTGTGCAGAAGTACTGCTAAAACTTCTGAATCTTTATTCGCTTGCTTTTTGTGTCCCATAGTCATCGCCTCTTTTGTCTTTACTCCTATCTTGCCGTTCTTCTTTTGATGCTTCAGTGCCTCGCGATCTGTCACTGCCTTGGTCACGGTCACGTGCCTTATCTCGCGTACGGTCACGATCACTTCTTCTATCTCTGTCACGCTCTCTGTGGTCGTCACGGTATCTGTCACGGTCCCTATCACGTGGTTTATCATCGCGAGTCTTCCTTGTCTGATCGCGGTCGGGCTCACGATTTTTTTCCTTCGTCTTCACATCTTTGCTTTTCTCTTTTTCTAAGAATAATAATTAAAGAAAAAACAACAATTGAAAGTTGTAAAACAATCTTTTTTTTTTCTTTTTTTGTGGTAGTACGTTGTCTGTTTGTTTAGTCGTAATCAGATGTGGAAGGTAAGGGTGATCTATTTTCACAGCAAAATAAAACGAAGAGTGCTCATTTTCAAACGTTAACGCCGTAGTAAAAAGTAAAAGTAAAAGTAAAGCTAGAGAGGATTCATTTGAATGGTTACACCATACGATTACATCCACAGACTCAAAAGTTAGAACTACATACTAAATAAATAGTACCATGTGAAAGTACTGCTGAAGAGGTTTCATTTGAATGGTAACACCATAGGAGTTCATCCACAGACTCAAAAGTTAGAAATACAAACTATATAAATAGTACCATGTGAAAGTACTGCTGAAGAGGTTTTATTTGAATGGTAACACCATAGGATTTCATCCACAGACTCAAAAGTTAGAAATACAAACTATATAAATAGTATCACGTGAAAGTTCTGCTGAAGAGGTTTCATTTGAATGGTAACATCATAGGAGTTTATCCACAGACTCAGAAGTTAAAACCACCTTGCAAGACAGCATATCATTCACTCTGAGAGTGAACGGTCAAAGAACGTACCTGATGCAGTGTCTCTTGTGTCTGATCGTGGGTCAGCTCCCCGAGGGCCTGTTCTTGGTTGGTACAATGCTCGATCAGGACGATCCTAAAACCCACCGGATAGAGATAGTATGCGTGATCAATTGGTGAATTGGTGTTCAGGACCCAGGAATCACCATTTTGTAACAAAATCACTAACCTTGTTACGCACTCGACGTTCATCACTACGTCTTTTCTCATCCTTGGCGTTTCCCTTGGATTCTTGTCCTTGAGGTTTATTTTCCCCAGTGACCGACGTGGTCTCCTTTTCTTTCTTTTCTTTCTCCTTTCCGACAGCATTTGTTGGTTCTCTTTCCTGTTCTCTGCTGGGCTTTAACTCCTTGCCTGCAGAATCGGAAGCCTTGCCAAGTGATTCTTTTTCCTTCGTCTTGCTTTCGGGTTCTCGGGAGGGTCGAGAATCTCTTCGACTGTCAGGTCGTCGATCTCTTCGCCCGCCCTCGTTATCTTTTCGATAGCGGTCGTCTCGTCCTCGGTCGGAACTGTCCGAACTATCTCCTCGGTCTCTCCGATTGTTTGGACGCCTTTCTTCCGAGCGTCGGTCGTCAAACCGTCGGCTATCAGGGCGTTTTCCCGATCTTCCCGACTCTGGTCGACCCTGGAGAGACAAAGCTTAGATCAATTTAGAGATAAAAGTTGAAGAGTCGATCTAGGTAAGTACTGATTTCAAATCAGTGATAAGATAAATAGCGCATCACAGCAATTCCTCTTTCAGTTACTTAAGGTGGCTCCGTCATTAATACAGGCGCATCGAGCTTTGACTAACTTTCCGTCCTAACTTTCTTGTTTTTAACGCGATAGCAGCGAACCTTTTTCAAAGAACGACAAATATAATTTTGCAATAATATGAAATATCCGATTTTTTTTTTTTTGCCAAACTAATGCTTAAAACTGAAGGACCCTACTGTTTAAAGAAAATCGCGTCTAGTAAAAAAATTTGCTGATATTTTTGACTGAAATTCTCTTGCTTTAATTGATATAATAAATATGCCGGATAAATTTCAGAGAAACCGGTGGAGCAGAAGTCGTTCAAAATTCAGATGTGTAATTGATTTGGAATTTCAGAAACAAATTGCTCTGAGGTAGATCGAGCCAGCAGCTCAAATTTTCGGGACAAGTGATTTCAGTGAGTATTTGCTAATTCTTCAAACAATTGCCAATCGTGCTGTTCTGTGCAAGGTACTTTTACTGTTAGAAGCACTCATAAATTGCTCCAAACCTTGCTCTGAAGTCGAATGACTTGTTCTTCGACAACTTTGAAATATTCTTCCGCAATTTTGGCTGAAAATCCTGCTACGTACATTTTGATGTACTGCAGTGCATCTTATCAAAGAGTTAGCCTAGCTTTAAAATGGAGGCTTGGGTCAACTGGGAAATGGCCTATTGTGGCACCGACCAATCAAAACAAGCAGAGACAATCCAATGAACCAATCATAAATATTATAAACATGACCGGAGCTGAGCGCGGGAAAACTGGCGGGGGCAAGGCACCGCTGGTTTTAACTTAATTCCTGATTGGCTGGGAAATTGCCTTGGGGGTCTAATAAGGGGTTTACGCAACCTTGACAGCGACGAGGCCCAGGGTCGCTCGGGTACTAGGCGAGTGACCTGTCCATATATACAGCTATTTCGAGAAAAGTTGTCGGAAAAAGTGCACGCGGCAATCCCGAAAGGTATTATGGGTGGATTGGATATCACTGTTCTTCAATGAAATTTGAAAGAATGGCACGAAAGGCCATGGACGTATGTTTGCGAGTGCTATTTAATGAAAGGAACAAAAGTAGGTTCCGACAGCTACAGTGTCACGAATAGTGTATTGATCATATCCCATATTACCTTTCGGGATTGTTGCGTGCAAAATTTTTCCGACAACCTTTCTCGAAATAGCTGTAAACGAGGACTAACTGTTGTAAGAAACAATAATATACTAAGACTAAGACTAAGATATTATGAACCTTTTCGTCTTTTCCTTTCGGCGACTTTGAATCCATCTTGTCTTTTGACGGCGGAGGAGCCTAAAAAAGATTCACAAACATTACAAATAAGCACTTCGAGGCCAAGTTATCTAGTTTTAGATATGACACAAGGCCTAGTTCAATCGTCGAATTTCACATGCGCCGTATACCTAATTCTAATTAGCAAAATCTATTGTTATCGCTTACCGTATTTATTCGATTAACCGCCCTGGGGGCTTATTAAATTTTTGGACCTTGAGAGTGGGCGCTTATTCAAGGTGGGCGCTTATTCGAGGCTGGGCGCTTATTAAATTTTCACCATTTTCAGCAAGTGTAGTATGTTTATTTGCAACAAAACAATAAATGCTAATAACAAAACGCGAAGAACTAACAAAGCAAGGTTTCTGTAAAATACTCTGAAGAAAACTCCGTCCTCGGGGAAGTCTCTTATTAGAATTTATTCACTCAAGTGGGTGGGGTGGGGAAGAACGCTTATTTGAGTTTGATTGAGAAGGGGAGGGGGTGGGCGCTTATTAGCGGAGCTCTGGCGCGCGAAGCGCGCCTGCGGAGCACCATGGGTAAGAAAATGTGGTAATCTACCCATCCGCGAAAATTTGGTAATCACGTGACCGTACGCCCGACCGTCCGTCCGCACCACAGGCATACCAATGTGAAATAACTCAATCAACAGGTATGGCAACCCAAATGCAACTCGAGGTTATTTTGGCGGGAAATCGCATAGCCACCCGCGTCTGTAAAGCAGAGGCAACTAAAGAGTCAATAAAGACGAAACCGAAAAGCGGAAATTGTTTTTGTATCCGTGTTTTCAAAAGTATTAAGCTTAGATTAATTGTCATGTCCACACATTTGGAATATAGAGCCAGAGAAAGACAGAGAAAAAGAGAAAAAGAGGAAGGCCAGAGAAACTCAACGAGAAAAACGGCAACAGAGCGAGAGATAAAAAACAAAGAAGACATTTTTTGTTGGAAGAACAACATGAAAATTTTGTAGGGGCGGTGACAAAATGAGAAATGCTAGCGGCCACCAATGCAAGGAGAAAATGAGCGGTAGTGATAAAAAAAAGTGAACGAGAACACGTACGACATTTCCCCCATAAAAAGTTTCTGGAAGTTTCACGTGGCGGTCGTGCAAAACAAAGGCAAAGAAATGTACAAAAAAAGTGTGCTGCACGTGCAAGGTTGCTTTTTTGCTAATTAGACCTATTGTTGTTTTTTCTCCGTTCTCCGGCGTTGCCTTCTTCGCTTAGCATTACACGATTTTATATTTTGTTTGAACAAACTATAAATATTATCGAGAGCTTCGCTTTTAGCCCTGGCTAAATCTATATATTAACTTTTTCTGCCTTTAGGATGGGCGCTTATTCGAAGTGGGCGCTAATTGGTGGTTGGGCGCTTATTCGAATAAATACGGTATTAGCTTTAGGTAATTTGTCAGATGCTCGACGTTCGAACCGGGCCTAACATTCACTAATCACACTACCTTTGTGTCTCTGTCTCGGTTTCCTTTTCTTTCCACGTCATCCTTTCTTCGACTTTCTTCTCTGTTTTTGGCATCTTTCCTCCTTTGTGGATGAAGTTTAAAAAAATTTATACAAGTAGTTATTTTCTACTATAACATGAGAGAGTCTTAAACAATTGCTATATCTTGACACCACAGGTAAGGTCTTTTCTTTGGTTGTCTCTGTCCAGGAGACTTTCGTAGTTTCTTGGCCCTTAACATAAGCCATGCTGGCTTACTTTGCCGACATCTTGGCACTTTAGTTACACGCAACAACAATCAACTTTGTGATTACTTGACAATCGAGCCATCTCGGTTAGCCGGGATCTTAGGATCCAGGCTTACTGGTCTGGAAATTGCCCAAGATGTAATCACACTTGCCCGGAAAACCGAGCCAGAAACAGAACAGCGGGTAGCACGCTGCTCATGCGCAGCGCCTTTACATCTGTAAACAAGTAAATATGGCGAACTTAGGGTTGACAAAGTTGTCAAGTTTCAATCCATGTCCACTCTCGCAATCCGTAGCAAAAGACGCCAGAAAACGTTATCAGTCCTAAATAATTAAGGTCCTAAATATTAAAACTGTACCATTATTTTTGGAATTCAGATGCGACACCACGTTTTAGCCCCGGGGAGGGGGAATTCTTGGTGGGGGTGTGCCGCCCGGTTGTTCAAATCCTGACCCGATTTCAGATCAAAAAATGTCATTTTCCACACCTGTTTTCAGACCAGACGTCTAAAATCCATACCCATTATCAGACCTGTCTTTTAGGCAGAAATTATGATATCATTACTTAGATTAGAGCCCAAACAAAAAAATTCTTCAAATCCATTTCGAATTCGCATATTTCTCGTTCTTTCTTACTCATTTGGAATTGAAAAGATAAATACGTTCATACACTCCCTAGTTCCCTCGAAAACCATACCTGATTCCAGACCAAAATGGGCAAAGTGTATACCCGTTTTCAGACCAAAACGGCACAAAAACCCTACCCGACCATGTCTGTAATTCTCATGACCTCTCTGTTTTACAAAGCATTGAGAAAGAGAAAGAAATTTGATGCTGATCACTCTTAGCGCTAAAAGGGTTAAATGCGATCCTTGATAATTCAACTCCAAGAAATGGGGATGAAATTCTAATCACGGAGCAAGATAATTTACTCCATACTTACTCGTCTTTAGGTTTTTCCTCCTTCGGAGGTTGTTGACCGCTTGAACTTTTAGCAGTAGAATCTTTGTTGGAAGACAAATTGGAAGACGAACCTTTCTTTGGCGACTGAAAAAGAAAATAAACTAATCATGTCATAAACAGAGTTTAATACCATCAACTGACGTGATACAACTCACTTTGACTCTGAAGATTACTACCGCACAGGTTGTCGAAACGTCAGTCACTGTCAACAACGACAGTCCTATTGAGGACTTCGTTCACCCGGACGATCAAACTCAACCTACTTTCGAAATGACTCCTGGGTTCAAACCTTTCACAGAAATCAACTATCGTTCCAATACATGCAAAAAATAAAAATTAGATGAAGACAAACCAACAAATACGGGGGAAATGTGCACCCTTTTGAACGTAGAAGCATGTGTCACAAAAAATATACTGCTGTATTTTTTCCTTTTTATGGTGATGATTAGAAACTTGGAGTCGGTGAGGCAAAAATCAGTCTAATGACCTCTTGAATCAGCATTAATAAAGGGTAATGGTAAGACGCCTGATTGGAAGTATTTTTCCCCAGGTAATGACTATGTGAGGTAATGGCTAATGAAATGCAAAACTGAAGAAAACAAGGGATAACACGCATTTTTTAAAGACAACTGCGTTTTAATATAAAGAAAACGCTGAATAGGCATCTTTTCCACAAAAAAAAGCAATACGGTAACCACTGAAGAACATCCAAGACTTTCAAGTAAGACAATCCTTTGAACCAGTCCGCGTGTCCTACGTGTTGTGCATTTCTCGCGTTTCGCGCGCAACTACCTTGGGATGGGAAGAAATTGCATGCGCAGAAATGATAGTGGGCACCGTCTTTAAATGCTCTTCTGCTCTGCTTGACTTCAGAGTAGAAGGTCGTGGGCTCCATTCTCTGGAAGGGTCTTCACATAACTAAGAAACGAAGGTACTGCCTTTGCCCTGCAAACAGCTAGACCTTCGTGTGGCTTGGATGTCCACGAAAAATGGTGGTCTCATTTCCATTAGGAGACGTCATAATAAAGTCCTCAGTTAGCACTTTAGTGCTAAATACATTGGCACTCAAATAAAGTGCCTGTTTTTCACCGTGTACATGGTTCAATTAAGCATTCCAACCGTTTTGAACACAATGACCAATGGAAACGCCTTATTTATTTTTGGGCAACTTCCAGTAGCGAATGGAACAGCATTTTCCAAAGTTTCCAAAAAGAGGACAACATGGGAAGGTATACAGGAGTTTTTTCTCGGAAGTTTATGTTTTTCATTCAACTTTGCTCTCGGAACTGATTTCTAGAATTTGTTGACAAATGGTCCCGGGAAATTTCTGCACCATGTGCCGTTGTTTCCAAATTTTAGAAAGTTTTGGTTGAATGGAAAGCGCCCACAAATTACCTTGGGAAGCTCCTCTCTTTCAGGTCTTCTTTTTCTTTCTGGAGGACCACGCTGCAAACAGAAACAGTGAGGTAGGGCTCAGGACAATTATTGTTTGCAAACTTCGTTCAGTAATATTAAAGTCCGTCCAAAAAACGTAAATTATGCACAAGTGTTTGAAGTTACTGGGGCGCCCCTCTCGCGTGCAAGATCACCTGACAAACTCTCATGCAAAAGTGAAAACGGGGTAGGAGACAAGGGAGACAAATTTAAGGCTCCCAGGATTCGTGCAAAAATCCCATACACGCGCCTTACAACCGTCAATTTTTTGAAAGGGAATCAAAAAACTGGGTTCAGAACCTTTCACTTTTTATACCAGCACTCTAAGCCCTCTATCTTTCCATGTTTCTGGCGTTTGTACTTTTTTAACGGCTGTGATCTCTAGCTGTTCATATCTATGTAATGGGAAACCGTTATGATGTAGATGTAGGTGTAGATAATTCCACACCTTACTTTTCCAGTCACTACTTACGGCTGATATAGGCCTTCCTCGTGAACTCCTCTTCATTTTTAAATATTCCAATAATGGCGTACTGACTTTTGCATTACCAGACGAAGCTACAAGATTAAGAACAATAATAAAAAAACTAGTTAAAGTCAAGTGAGATAAAACACGCTTGTGACTTTTGACTGTCCACTTCATATGTGCGAATTACCTCTCTTTAACAGGGGCACCCAATGATTTTAAGCTATCCAGAGTACTTTTAGATTTCTAGAAATGCATTTATGTTCAGGGCTATAAAATTTGTGTCTGTTTGATCATCCTAGGGCATTTTGAGACTGTTCAAAATTATTAGGGCTCCAGTATTACTTTCCCAAAAACATTAGATGCAATTCTAACGTTTTACGAAAGTGAGAATTTTTCCAATGCTACTCTCCATCGCATTTCTGGATGCGAAAATTTTAGCTTTCCTTTTTACTAAGAAAGATTGCCTAACCTGGGGACTAAAATGTGAAAAGGTGAAATTCAGCATTATTTCATAAGCTTTTAAAAATGGGACAGTCATCTGGAAATTTTTAGACAGACTGACGTCCACACATTCAATTCATTAAAAGAATTTGGTCAATGATCTTTTTTTTCCTTTGGTTATCATTATTGTTTATTAAAATTGTTCATACACTAATGTATAGATAATGAATTAATACTGTTAGGAGAAAGTGTTTGGAAATCAGATGAAAAACTGCTAGTTATTGCATCCTTAATTTCTCCTTTTAAAATCATTTTGTTTGAGAAGTAGTATCAAGCATTCAACACAGTGTTTCATCACTGGCTGGAACACCTCGAAGTTTGTCAAAAATACTCTGCTGCGCCTTGTATTTTCAACTCTATTCTCAATGTTTCATCTGGCGATGAAACACTGGGTCTCATGCTTGATATATCACTTGACAATCCTAGCCTCGCTATGCGACAAGTGACATGCCAAAGAACATCTGTGTAGGATCCTAGACTCTCAATGATGGAAAATCACCATCTAAAAGGATAAACCCTGCAAGAAAAATTATTCCTCCCCCACCATGCCATCTTACATTTCTTTGCTTCAATCTCCTCTAAATGCATCTCAATGGTTGGAGGTGGTTCCTCCGTTTGGTTGAGAGTTTCAACAAAGGCCAGATAGTCAGGATCTAAGAATCAATACACCAGAATTCATAAGACTTAAGACTTGCACTTTTTTAAAAGATTTACCATAAATCCACTAATAAACCCCCTGGGCGAGTTATATATTTCAAATTTATTTCTCAAACTCATTAATAATTCATTAAGAAAATACAAAGGAAATTAATGTTTAATGAGTGTTTGGAAATCAGATGAAACACTGCTTAGTATTTGCATCCTTAATTTCTCCTTCAAAAATGATTTTGTTTGTGAAGAAATATCAAACATTCGACACAGTGTTTCATCACCAGATCACCTTGAAGTTCGTCACAAATTCTCCGCTGCGCGTCGTATTTTCAACTCTCTTCTCGGTGTTTCATCGGGTGATGAAACACTGCATCTCATGTTTGATATATTACTTGAAACACATTTGCTGGGGGGGAGGGGCAATAGAGACAGGAGACTGTTTGAAAGGTGGGGGGCACATTTAATTTAGCAAAATGATGGCCTGAAGAACTAGAATGCAAAGTGGAAAAGCTCACGTACAAGAAGTTGGAAGTCATGCAGCTGAGAATCAAAAACAAACCTGAACTACAGTATAAACTGTTGTGATTGATTAACCCAGTAAATCATTTATCAGTGAAGAATATTACGGGGCAGGGGTGGGGGTTATTAACTTTCCTCCGCTGGAGTGGGAGGACTTATTAGAGAGGGGAGCTTAAATAGAGGATTTAAGATAACACAATTTGAGCATATGAAAACTTCTAGGAACTACAAACCTTCAAGAATGGTTCCCATTTTAGGATCCTTTTTTGATTTCTTCTTAGGAATTCCTTGGTAAGGAGCATATTCTACAACAGCTGGATACTCCACACCTAAGGAGAAGATGGTGTGGAAATAAAAATGAAAAGCAAATTTTACGAGGCTGTGTTCTTAGAAGGAAAATTGAAGGGAGCCCAGTGCTCATAAACTGTAAAATCTGGGGTGTCCAGTATATGATTTGTATGAAGAAACTAAGATTTCCTAGTCCCCCGAAAGCAAAAGTTAGGTGCCTATTGCACATATATGTCACATATATATAGATTTGGTTAGCTCAGGGCAGGGATGCACAGCCCTAAATTAAGATTAAAGTTAGAAAATTGACACTGAACAAGTTACTGATTTAAGACAGTGTTCCAAGCCACATTCTTCCTCATTATCTTCATTGTTACTTATGGAATGCAGAATCAGTTTCTCCGTTGCATTAGCAAAGCAAATTTATAAAGATATGGATATTCATAATTTGGGATTTTAGCATGTTTTCATTGGCTTCATTAACATGGTTTTCTTACAAGAAGATGTCCATGGACAGCAATTTACTGGGACAACTCAAAGTGGCCACAATTAACCAATAATGAGCTGGGCAAGTAATCCAGGTGAACGTATGTTGGGGTTAGACTATTATCAACTGAGTTAACATATGAATAAGAATGAACTGTAGATACCTTTGCTGTTCACAAATCGATAACCATCAAACTGGTCTCGAAATTTTATGATATCATCTCTGTTTTTGAAATTGATGTAAGCTCTTGCAAAAGATATAGGACCAAAGCTGTGATAAAATAGTAACCCAACAGTTTAATACAGGAAACTTTTTTTGAATGAAATTTGCATTTTAGATACTCGTTGCTATATTGTGATCTATTACTTTGCAAACAGTTGTAACAATATTATTGCAGTAGTAAGTGTTGTCTCACTCTGATAACTCTTACTGAAACCTTGATTATTCTCCTACAATATTACAAAAGCCTAATTTAAAAATAGGCCACGTGCACTAAGAGGTCACGTGACCAATGCTTCCGTTATAAAACAATGAGTTGGAATCTTGCTGAAACTAAAAATTGACGGAGAGCATAAAAATTATCTTACACCTGAAATTTGAGAGGAAATGCATTTAAGGGAGATATTTTATGGCACTTTGACTTTTCAACAAAGTAGTATGATTTGCCATGTTGGAGGGCATACTCTTGCCCTCCAAAATGGCGGCCAATTTTACTTGTTGCTTGTATTTTGTTAAACGTTAGATAGTTACGCTCAGATGTGCTGAAAACTTTACCACATCATCTTTTCAACAGTTTCCTTGAAGTTTAAACTTTGTGCAAAATTTCTGTTCAGAAAGAGGTAATTCATAGTTTACAAATTCACAGTTTTGGTCACGTGACAAGCTATGAACTTACTCATTTTAAGAAAGTGGTGCGGGTTTGAAAAACTAAATCACTATTATTTTCTTTAAGATATGACCCACTAATCGTTTTTTGAAGACAAAATCATGTAACTTTCATTTAAAAAAAAAATGTTGTCACATGACCACTTAGTGCAATTGGCCCCCCAGGGAGGGGGGGGGGTACTGCCATATATGGGCTATATAGGTATGTGCCACTGTGAAGGGTATGGTTTTCAAGCAGTTTACTCTAGGATAGGGTATATAAATCAGAGCATTTGGCTCTAGAATAGGGTATCATTTTTCAGGAAACTGATCAGTTGGTTGAAGATTTTATCTAGACTAGTTACACAGCTACTCTAGGATAGGGGGATCTGGGGAGTTTACTCTAGTATGGGGTAGCAAAATTCAGCTGAGCTAGCTCTGGTAAAGGTTAAGGGTTCCAGGCTCCCAGCGGCACATCCCCACCCAGAAATTCCTAAAGTACCGCCCCCGGGAATTGGCCTATTGTTTTGTTACACATTACTTGGAAGAAAATGATGAAAACTAAATGTCACACAGAATGTACAGTTTGACATTTCTCTTAGAAATCATGCATTGCACGTGCAACATAGAGATAAGTCAGTTTAATATATGCTACACCATAGCATGTAACTGACTATTTTTTGTAACCTTTAGGTTGTGTTGATTTCCAGAATTCACTGTAACGTTCTTAGCTAATGAAAAGACTGATAGTGAGTACAATGCATATAATAAACTGTTATAATAATACAGTGATGTGTAATGTTTTGAATTTGTGAATATCATTAATCATAATTTTGGTTTGCCTATTTAAGCAACATCTCTTCAGCAGAACTTTTCCCTATAAACAAAGACATGTTACCCCCTTAAATTGCGTTTCTCTTCCAAAAACAGCAGTGACAGCTAGAATTATTTCTGTTTGTAGGTTAAGCAGAACATTCTCATGATACTATTATTACTTTAAAATCTTGCTCTGAATGCAAGATTTTCTTTTTGATTGGGGATTTCCTTGAGTTACCCAGTTACAAAAATGAAGTTACCTCATATCACTACCAACAAAGTAAAAAAAGTCATGCTCAGGGAGATCCCCCAACTCTTCCTTCAGCTGATCTTCAGTCAATGATGGAGGAAGACGACGAATAACAACCTAAAATATGACCACAATCACAGTAAGTAAATATACTGTTTTTATTCAGCTATAAGCCAAGACCCTAAACTTTGAACAAGTACAATCAGCATTACCCTCTTGGGCTCAAATTTCACTTAACTTTATCTTTAGTTTGTGTAAAAATCACTCAGCTTATAGCCGAATAAATACAGTATACATATGGGTGAATAAAGGTCACCCTGCCAGCTGAACCTTTTTTTTGCTTGCTTGAATTTGGTGTACTCGAGAAATACTCTGCATGATTTGAGTATAAATATTTATTGAGCATGCACAGCATGTTGCTAGGATAAAGTTTCCAACCCGGATCTAATAGCTGTGCACTTGCTACAGTGGGCTTGGTTATGACCGTCGGTATATCAATAAACAGACGCTTGCACTCGAAAAAACCAATTTGACGAGAGAGAACAAGATTGACTAGTCAAAGAGTTTGGCTGCGGTGACCTCAAAGGTTTGATGTGATTCAGGCAGAGCCTCCTTTTTCCCCTCCTCAATCAAGAAGACAAAGGAGGTGCTGCTCGCAGGGTGAATAATATACAACTATGCCCCAAAGGGGCATCGCATCTCGCTATATATCTAGCACTATGAACCAACCCTGAGGGGAATAGTCCTTTTAGTATTTACCAAATCAGTGGGATAAAAATAAAAAAGAAACTTTTTGTAACAAATTCATTTACCACTAAAATTTTATCTTTCGAAACTGTCGTGAAACGAGAAGCCATTTTGAATCCCGCTCCAAAACAGTGAATATCTAAGGATATTCTGAGTTATGGGAACCAATCAAAATGTGCGAAAACTGCTATCCACCGATTTGGTGAATACTAAAAGACATAAGTATTCAACATACAATAAAATCAATTAAGCTTAAACTAACCCAACTTTCCTCATAAAGTTAAAAGAAATAATTATTTAAATACATCACCAACCCTTTACCTTTTTCATCAGTACTTATTAAAGATGTGAACAGTACAAAATGCAGACTGCAGACCATTGTATAAAGGGTTAGAAGACAATGGGATTATTATTGTCACATTCTCATTTGCATGGTGAAAACAATAGTCTGCAGCAGTCTTCAGTCTGTATTTTGTTTGCACTGACCGATTAAAGATGCATGCCAACTTTGCAGTTCATAAAAATTTTTGTGTATTGCAGGAAACTTTGCCCAGCGGCAAGCATGATTCTCAACTTTAATCAGATAGGTAAGACGAAGTCCATCAGGAAATTGATTAATTTTAATTTTCAGTAGACAAAAACCTTGTGCTAGAATGATTTAAACAAAATCACATTCTTCTTTACATTTTTTAAGGGTTATAGATGCAATTAGTTTATAACACCAAAGAAAATGTCTTATGGGAGCCCAAGAAAACATATGTCAAATTTCACAAAATGACATCTTACACATGAAATTTTCAGAATTTTACCTGTGTTTTCAAAATTACAGTGAAATTTGACATTTATTTTCTCGGGATCCCAGGGGAAATAGTCTTTGGTGCTATTACAGCCCTTGAAAAAATGTAAAAAAGAATGCGTTATTGTTTAAATTATTCTGGCACAAGGTTTTGTCCACTGAAAGTTAAAATTACTGAATTTTCTGATGGATTCCGTCTTAAGTTTTACCTTATATTGTAGCTTCAGACTTTATGATTTAGGTTTGCAAAGTGCAAAACAGTACACCTAAAAAACTGAAAACATCCACACAAAATACCTTTGTTGGAAACAAAAGCCTTTCCTTCTTAGACTTAGAAGTACTGGAAGGCTTTTCCTCCTCAGTTTTTCCCATAGTAGTCAAATGTTATACATAGCCAGAATTCAAATTGTACACATCACTTTCGACAATTTACTATCGCCATCTTTGTTGTGGAAAACTAGTGCCAGTCTGCTAAATGAGAATTTCATGTATAGCAAACATGACCAATGTATCTCTCATGTACTCAAAACTGACCAAAATGTTTGCTGGCACTGAAGCACGTAATCGGATTTCCATTTCACCCAAGATAGATTCACATGACTGCCTCGAGCTAAGCGCGTTACATATCTACAAAAAATTTTCTGTGACTTTGTAGACCTTGACCCCTATGGAAAAGAACGTCAAGATGAAGAAGAAGGTATATATCAATTGATTTTACTAGTTTATTTCCCCATAAACGATAAAAACCGTCCTTGTCAACTTTCGTCTTGTCGTTTTAGGTTCTTCTGATGGGCAAGAGTGGCTCTGGGAAAACCAGTATGCGGTCGATAATTTTCGCCAACTATATCGCAAGAGACACGAGAAGATTAGGCGCAACAAGTAAGACCTTCCTTTCCTTAATTTTTATTCGTTGGGCTGCGTTTCTTGGCTTGAATTTTCTTTACTTTGTCGATTGTATTTTATACCTGGTCATGTTGCACAGGAAAGTTCAATACAATACGCGCTCAATTTATCTTTTTAGTCGACGTTGAGCATTCTCATGTGCGATTTCTTGGAAATTTGGTCCTTAATCTGTGGGATTGTGGAGGGTAAGTTAGTTAACTGTTAAAACACATTTTGTGAGCTGAGATATAAGAGAATCTGATCCTAATATACCGAGATATTTCCCTACGTACTGTCGCTAAGGTCTAGTAACATATCCAGGGCAAGTCGTTAAGGCTGCTTACACGTAAGGTTTCCCAATACATTTATTATGCTTTTATGTCGTGACTGTATTCATATAAACTAGTTGCATGAAACAATATGATATTGCTGAATGCATAATAATCTGTATGGGGGCTCTGCAGAAATCTTGCAGAATACAAGGGGCTGGAGGGAATGTGTGTTTTATCCAAAGGGTACATTTTAGTTGGAATGTGCTCCATAAATTTAACTATAAAGATCTGATGATAGCAAAGGCAAGGAAAACGTCAAAAGCAAATTAAATTCAGGGAGCAAAACTACAACTTTGCATGTGCAGCATGCTTTTGTCAATACATTTGTTTGCTGTCGCAGCACGACTGTGACATGAAAATGCTTAATTTGACATCCTTTGGAGGAAGTAAACAAGCAACAATGAAATCTTCTTTCTCTTTCTGAACTGTTTGGGATCCTAATACCACTGTAATAAATTATTACAGTTGTAGGGTACTAAGAAAGTAAGTTTTACAGCTTGCCCTTTGGGAAGCTGTGGCTAGCATATACTAGCCCAAAAGGACTTTCGATGAGTATAGTCGACTCCTGGTAACTCGAACCTTCCACTAAGTCAAGGCAATTTTAATTTTCCCTTCGAACTTGAACTTTTTTCTATTCTCGTTGATGGTTCGAATTAACAGGAGTCAACTGTACTTTAAATCATTAATTTAAAATAAATTCACAGTTTTAAAATAAATTGTTATTATTTGTTAATTGATTACATTAGTTAACAAATTGCTTGCTTTATTAATTTATTGTAATAGTAACTAATAATTATTTTCACTTTGTCAGATCAGCTTGAAAAACAGCTCTATCTACATGAATTTTTTAGGAATTTATACTGTAATTGTTTAAATTCAAATTATTTGTCTTACAGTACTTCTAATTCTCTCTAAAAAACTTCAGCTGCGTGTTGTGCAAGTTAAGAACAGAATTCATGAGATGCATTACAAAATCTACTAGCCCGGGGCTGTTGGAGATAACTTTCTTGCACACTGCAGTTATTATGATGTAAGATGTGTAACAAGTGGATGAACATGTAAAAACCTGCTTAACGGAGAGATTAGTTAGTAAGATTATTTCTCCCTTATTTTTTCAGGCAAGAGGCATTCATGGAAAACTATTTTACAAGCCAGAGAGACAACATTTTCAGAAATGTTGAAGTGCTAATCTATGTGTTTGATGTGGAGAGTCGTGAGTTGGAGAAGGACATGCATTATTATCAGACTTGCTTAGAAGCAATCCTTCAAAATTCACCGGATGCAAAGATATTTTGTCTAATACACAAGATGGATTTGGTCCAAGAGGATCAGAGAGACTTGGTGAGATACTTTTTCTTTCTCCGTTAGTTCCATGGGTTTTATAGTTGTAAATTTTGCCAAGAAAACTTGTCTGTCTGAGGAATAAACAGATGTTAAATAAAATTTAATAATAAAATTTATTAAAAAATTAATAATAATTATAATAAGTCATTGGCATATACATGTTTAGTGCATGTGGCCTGATATTAACCCTTGTGACCAACATCAATTTTCTCCTAACGATATCCATAGATTGTCAAGAGCAAAGTCTATGAGAATCAACAAATTGATTACAACGAGATCAATCTTTGATCTTTTATCAAATTCTCTCAACTAATTTTTAAAGGATATGTATAGAGATAAGTCTGGAGAATTTGTAAGTGGATATTGGGGCTTAAAGGGTTAAAGCTGATGTGGCATCTATATAAGAAGAGCAGTGTATGTATATATGTTATGGGTCAAATTTGATTTTAGGTTAATTTTAACTTAACTAAATTGAGTCTCTATTTCCTTTGTTTCCTAGTCCTAACTCACAAATAATAACTATTCGTGAGTTAGGACTAGGAAACAAAGGAAATAGAGACTCAACCTAGTTAAGTTAAAATTATTAGGGTTAGGAGTCAAAGGAAATTGAGAATCAACCTACAGTAGCTTAAAAAAATTAACCTGAAATCAAATTTAACCTTGTAACATATACTTCATTTTGTATGAACGTGTGTGCCAAGCTGCATTATTTTGTTTTGTATCTGGCTCTATTTCAACAGATTTTCAGGGAGCGAGAAGATGACCTGAAGAGACTTTCTAAGCCCCTAGATTGCACCTGCTTTCGCACTTCAATCTGGGATGAAACACTCTACAAAGCTTGGTCATCCATTGTGTATCAACTCATTCCTAATGTTACACAGTTGGAACAGAACCTTGAGAACTTTGCATCCATTATTGATGCCGATGAGGTTTTGCTGTTTGAGAGAGCGACATTTCTTGTAAGTACTCTGTTTTTTGATGTTCAAGCCAGTGAAAGTTAAACACAAGTCAGTGCCTCCCCCAACCCCCACCACTCAAAAAAATTGGAGAGTAATGCTTGTCTGTTAAGATAATGGGAGGCTGCCTGAAAAATTTTGCTAATTCTGGGCAATGCAGAATTGCAAATTCCTGTTCAAACTGGGATTTTTAAGGAGAGAATTAAAATCCAGAAAACTCAATAGAGAACCCTTAGAGAAGGGCTGAAAAGTAACACTTACAAAAGTATTTTAATCTGCCTGTAAATTTTGAGGCAAGGGACACAACAATCACTGTCTGCTAATAGTCAGCAACTTTGTACTCACTCGCACTGATCCTCTACACCATTCCTGGCACTCTTAAATGATTACGACGGGACTGAGGACTTTGTTTGTACAGAGCAGTGACTAAACTTGTAAAAGTCTGACTTTTTATTTTGGTATTGTTTTTCTTTTTTCTTTTCTTTGTTGTTCATTTTATTCATCTAGTTTGTCTTGTTATTTTTCTTGATGTTATTAGTGTAAGTAGCTGTGTTCCGAGCCTTATCTTCTTTCTTGTTTTGTAATTTAGGTTATTGTCCTTCAGGCGTATTGTATTATGTGAAAGTATTGTAATAAAAGGAAGTCTGACTTGCTCATCACTTTATATTATTCTGTTTGTCATCTCCAGGTTATCTCATACTGTCAGCGCAAATCCCACAAAGATGTACACAGATTTGAAAAAATAAGCAATATCATCAAGCAATTCAAACTCAGTTGCAGGTAAGCGAATGTCAGTCTTTTAAAAACCAAGGAGAAAATAAGTTGTTTGTTGTTAATGCAGTTTATATTGGAAATAGTCGAACAGTTTGCAGATACATTAAATGCATATGAAGCTGAGCAGAACTGTTGTAAAATGAAAGTTACGTTAAAGCAGAAAGGTATTTTTAGCAGTTGGGCACATGTTAATATTGGTTATTATTATAACATCATGTGGAAACACTCTGTCACCAGGAATCCTAATACCTAATGTTAGATACCAGGAATGTCATTAAGTTTTAAGCAGCCCTAGTAAATGAAGATTCACCCGTAACATCTCACAAAAATCTTAAGCTTTCCACTTTGATCACCCGCAATGTCAAGTGTGCTTAGCCATAACAGGTGTTATGGGTTACAACCCATAATGACAGCTCTGCATACCAGATCCCATCCCTTCCTGTCTAAAGCCAGGGGATGGGGTTCAAATTTTCATTGTACTCCAACCGAAAGGAGATTTTATACATAGTAAATTGTTAGTCTACTTACTCAATTTACTTTATTTTAATTTCTCCTGCCCTGCCATCTGTTACATTCTACTGGCTATCCTCATCAAAGCTCCACAAGGTTCTGTGATACACAAATTTTCATTGAAGTTGGGTGATTCACTCGACTTGTTCTTTACTTTCAAGCTTTACTTGGCTGTAACTGTGCATAACCGTCTTTTCCAGCAAACTGCATGCTCATTTTCAAAGCATGGAGGTGCGGAATTCAAGCTTTGGAGCATTCATTGATGTCTTTACACCCAACACATATGTCATGGTGATCATGTCTGATTCAACAATCCGTAAGTACTAAAAATTTATAACTACACGGGGACTTATCCTTTACATGAAAAAGCCAGAAATTTTGGTTGGAAAATCAAATGATTTGTGTCATTCCGTGTGAAAAGCTTCAGAAAATATGGGATGGAATTTGAGGCAATGAAATTTAATACTGTTTTGGTGTGTGTAGCTGATTTGGATATATTACTAGCGGGTCATTTTCCCACCACATCAAATTTTGTAGTTTAATGTTTATGCACGAGATTCCAACCCTGGCTGGTTTGTGTAAGTGGTAAGCACCCCAACCCCCTCTCACATAATATCGAAAACTAGTACAGTAATAACCTAAGGTTACGGAGTGCAGGCAACAATGATCAAAGGTCAAAACGCTTTTGCTCCAATGAAGTACTTTGCATAAGTTTCACGTGACATATGGTCAAAACACTCATGATCAGATTACAAGTGATAGAAGGTCCAAATGCGCTTGATCAAATTACGTTCTGTGCATTCCATTCATTCTTAGACCCTGTTTACATGGAGTGGGGGACCCCAGTCTAGTGGGGTAGGTTTCTTTTGTTTTGTGTCCTCCAGAGCGTGAAAACAAAAGAAACCAACCCCACTAGACCGGGGTCCCCCACTCCATGTAAACAGGCCCTTAGTGGAAGTCCAAATGAATGCTGGCTACATACATGTGACGCATGCATAATAACCTGAATTTGGAGATTATAATTGCAGACTCCTCTTGTCGCCTGCAAAAGTCCAAAGCCCCACAAATGTATATGTTGTTGTTAATTTTTTATTTCAGTTAAGTTTTGTTTTTTGTTTGTTTAAAATTCATTAGCATACATACCATGCCTAAAAACAATAGAAAAACAAAAATTAACTGCAACATATACATGACTGCGGTAGAATGAAGACATACCAAATCATGACGTTTTGGTTGGTTAAATGTACTTGTTTTAATTTCATATAATATAATATAGTTTTTTATCAGTTTATGTTCATTAAACACAAACAAAATGAAAAATTTAATGAGATTTCAAGGGAAAAAATGTTACTTGCCTCAGGTAGCCTGGTTACATGTATGCTACATGGGCTACATGTGACACAAGGGTGACTTTTCCTGTCTTAAGCCTGGTCTTGAACATGGTTTAGATTGCATGATACCCTTAATGAAAACCACATGGCATCTTGATATCAACATCCTTTATTAAAAAGTTGTTGTTTTTTTGTGTGGAATTTTGTTTTTCACATTGATTCTAGCTATCCATTCCATAACATGAAGTACGTAAACGAAATGAAAAATGTTTCATTTTAAGCTTGGTGAAACAAATGTGAAAATGAAATGATCAGCATGTCACAAGGGTAGGACAAAGAGAAAAACTGAGTTCCCGAATAGGTTCAAACCTATGACCTCCTAAACACTGGGCGGGCGCTCTATCCACTTGAGCTACAGAGAACTCATGGAGAGTGAGGCCATATACTAGGTTCATGTCGCATCCTGCATACTGCTAGGATCAGCAATGTTGTACGTAGTTTTGTCAGGTGTGATGTTGTACTTACCGTTCAGTAGTTTATAGAAATGCTCATGGTTTTCCCACAGACACAAAATGGCCAAGGACTGAGAAACTGATATGTACACTTTAATTTGCATAGAAATATGTTGTTGCACTCTGTGCATTAGCCTGCATCGCGGATGTAATCGAACCGTGGTTAGTACAGTCTGTAAAGCAGCTCCGATATCCTTGTTCAGGGCTCTCAATGGACTGGCAGTGATTGGCTTGCAAATCATGGCACCTACTCAAATCCAGGTACTCAGGAGAAGGCCAAGAACAAGGATTTCAGCCCTGTTTTGCATACAGACTTAACCACAAGTCTAGTTCCATCTGTTGCACAGGTTATCCGTGCATGTAACGTTGTGGTTTACAATGCAAAAATAAAGCAAAATGCTCTTTTTTTTCCACAGCATCAGCTGCCACACAGATCAACATTCGCAATGCAAGAAAACACTTTGAGAGGCTAGAGAAAGTTTCTAGTAATGGACATTCCCTTAAAGGAAGATAGACACTACAAACAAAAGCATGTTATATGCATTTGAGACACCTGATTGAAAAAACATTGTCCCTTGAAAAGTATAAACCATGAACGATGGGACCTAATGGATTTATGGGTACAACTTTATTAGCATTGCAAATTTAAATTCAAAAAGTTCTTTTCTCATTCCAAAAAACGTAAAATGTATTTACGGCTTTACCAGTTGGACACCAATTTCTACAGTTATTTTAAGAGCGTAGCCACATCGACGATGAAAATCATAAGATAGGACCTAAAAGCGTTCTTGGAAGACAAAAAAAAGACAACAGCGTGCCTTAAACAAAACGTCGAAAGAAAATGGCGGGTTGGGCGAACTAAGTAATAAAGGCGGGCGAGGGCAGAGAAACCGCGAGGAGATTGGAGCGGGAACAGTAGTTTTTACAACTCAAATCTGAAGATCGCGCTATACGCTAAAAAATACAACATCCTGCAAACCAGTGCTGGGCCCAGCGTCAAAACACAAAGGAAACTTTCTACAGTTATTTCCAGGCATTTTAGTCGGAAAAGACCAAAGAAACTAAAATATTTATTTAGCCGTAATAAAAAGCTTTAGGCTTAAGAGTGGTCAAAGAAATTAGTACTTTACAACTGCATCTGAGATCAACAAATTCTAATTAGCAACACTAACAATAACCACAGGAAATAATTACTCAATACGGATTAAACAAACCAACTTCATGACCTATAAATAAATGTAAGACTTAGTGCAGCAAAAATAAGATCTACTCAGTCAAGTTTAGAGCGCAGTGTAGTCACCTATGAGCGAAAAACCTGTGTTTGTTCAAGCAAACTTCAATTCCGGCCAAGGTCACGTTTTCACTATATCACGAGCTTTTGTGTCGTGTTTAGGCTGTCAACACTGTATTTCTGATTGGCTGGGAAAACTGAAACCAAACAAGTTGTCAACAGGATGTCAAAATGAGTTGAAGGGGCGGCAGTTGAAAAGGCCACGAATCCGGGCAGGCGGTTTTTATTTTTCTCGCGGCTTCTCGTGACAATGTAAACTTTTGCGCCCGGCTCGACAAAACCGCCATGCTACGCAGGCTATCGAAAGAACTTTGAATTTGCTTTGCTAATGAACGTATACCCATAAATCCTTGAGGCCTCATTGTTCATGGTTTATACTTTTTGGGGACAACGTTTTTTCAATCAGGTATATAAAGGAGAATGTCTTGTAAATTATATTGGTTACATTGGATCAGTCTTGTTTGAAGGAATATCTTTCAGCATCTGCACACTTTTTCCTTGCTACTTATGGAGAATTAACAACATCATGGGCTACATTTCAGCATGTTGTGCATTCATCATCAGTGTGGTTTTATATGGGTATCTGAGTTTAATACTTTGAGACACCTTTTCAGTATAGGAAATAGTACCCCTGCAAAGGTGGTAAGACTGCATCATCCCAATAGGTTATTTTGCTGGCCGCACACAAAATTGTCATTTTGTATCGTTCAAGACTTAGCAAAAAAGAAAAATAGAATAACAGTCTTTAGCACTTCAAAACGAAACGTTCTGCATAGATGCCCCAGTATTTTGCGTTGCCAAATTAAAGTCAAAAGCAAAACCAAAAAATAGGAGGAGATCTGGGTACGCTGCTGGATAGTGAAGCTATCAATAAAATATGAACAATGTTATTAGCCTGCATGGCAGGTGTCAAAAGAGTAGGGGAAGAAGGGAGAGGGGAGTGGGAGTTTCCCTGTCGCACTTCTCCCCCCCCCCCCCCCCCTCCCCTCCTTTTGCTTGCGTCTGCCACACGGGCTACAATGTTATGCACGCCAAACAGGGCCCGGTTCCCGAAAGGCCGATTAACGCGAATCCAGGATTAAAGTTTTGTTCCGTTGTTGTATAATTTTTTACTTTCCTATGCATTGCTATCATTGCTTTATTTCAGAGTAAAAGCTCAACAGTAATATGTAAGATTGAGTTACATGTTCTTAGGCAAGAAAACCGTGCCTAAAATTTGGCTTATTGCTGCATTATTTGGAGTCGGGGAATCACCTTTAGCTCCAAGAATGGTATGCTGGTGATTTTCTACTAAGAGAATAAACGAAGTTTTTACCAACGTCAAGTGATTTTAATGTTTAATAACGTACCTTAACTGGTAGCATGAGAATTGCATTGAAACCAGTGAGGAGATTTAGTGCTTCGTACACCGTTGTATTGTAATGCTAGTTTGTGCAAATATGGCCCGTACCAACTACGCAAGACGCGTAGTGTTAATTTTAGACCGCGAGCGGTCGTCGTTCTTTCCTCAGTGCCACGCGCGGCAAGGAAACATGTAAAATTATACAAATTGTAGTGGGAAAAGGGAGGAGAGATTGGGCTTCCGCCCTCATTCCTCGCGGCTTCGCCGGTCGCCTCTCACGCTCGCGAACTGTGACTCGAAAGAAAAATGAGAGACCGCTCGCATATGTTAATTTGAGGTCAGGCCAGATTATATGCGCTCTCTTACATCCTCTGTATGATCCTCTCTTTGCCTTTCCCCACTCCGGAGTTTAGTCGCCAAGCAAAACAAAATAATAGGATTTTGATCTGGAATAGCTATCGTTTGTATGAAGTTAATCAGTGTTATGGAGTTTCTGGTTCACAGTTAGTCTGTAGAAGGGTAATTTTTTTGCAGTAGTTGAATGTGGTCTGCTGGAGGCTAATGGTTGCAGTGCCCCAGCTCCACAACTCCACCCGGAAATTCCTACAGTGACCCCCCCCCCCCCCCATAAGACGACTGGATCTTTTGAAGTGTTGCGATCCTCAATCCAGGGTCGCATCAAGAGTGGCAGTATTCTGTACGCGAAAATACATTCTAGACGGGTCAGCAATAATGCTTTTATTATAAACATAGCACAATAGCTCTTACTTACTTTCCATTTTTTTTCGTTTTTGTTGCTTATTACATTTGGATCGTTTAAAACTGGATACGATGGAACCTCGATTTTACGAAGTCCTCGGTCTCATTCTTTGCTCTAGTAACAGCAAATATATGGAAAAGAACCTCGTACCGATAGAACCTCGATATAACGAAGGGCCAAGGGACTGGCAAAATATGTTCGCTATAACGAGGTTTTGTTATATCGAGGTTCTTTTTCATATATTTTACTATTACTAGGGTGAAGAAAATCGATAGTTATATCGAGGACTTTTGTTATGTAGAAGTTCGTCATATCGAGGTTCCACTGTATTAAATCATAGTGAAACCTCGTTATAGCAAACATATTTGTCCAGTCCCTTGACCCTTTGTTATAACCAGGTTCCACTGAAAACGTATAGCGCTTCACAATAGACCCTTCACGGGTCTTTTCAACTTTTGACGTGGACAAGTTAGGGAAAATCTGTGTACTTCACTTGAAAAAACACGTTTAACTTAGTAATTTGCCAAGTTTGAACTTAAGTTTTAACTTAGTAATTTGCCAAGTTTAAACTAGCAAAGATGTAGCTCCGTAAAGTTGCACAAATTTACAGACGATTGTATGATGGCGGAGGGGGGGAGCGGGGTGGTAAGTTTGTGCGCCTTCCCCCCGCTTCCCACCATACAAACGTCTTAAACTTGGCAGTTTTGCTAATTTAAATGCGCTCATTCCAGTGGAGTAGATCTTCCTTAACTGATCCATGCTAAAAGTTGAAAAGAACCGTGGAAAGGTTTATTTGGCATAAGCTAAAATTAGATAAATTATTCTTTCTGCCTTGCTTGAAGCATCTGCTTTATATACATGGATTTTGTCAGCTTTCTATAGAAAAGACTTGAATGTAATTGGGGCGCTAGATTAGCACATTATAGAAAACCTTGTTTTCATTAATTCATTTTCTTTCACCGAACGGAACATACTTTGGATATACATCTATAATGGTGCTTTCAATGTATTTCATGTAAAGCCTTTAGATAAACTTAAGATGCGTTTTTGTTTTGTCCCTGTACAGCCACTAGTTGGGCACAATATGAGTAACTAAATTCGTGAATATTTTAAAAATATTTGAAAATCTTACTCTTTCTCATCCTGAGAGAGGAACAGGTAATCTATTAAAGAGAAAGTTGTTAAAGAAATTGAATGCTCTAAAGCGGGCCAATCTTGATAACTTAAGGGTTCACAATAGAAAAAATATCAGCCAGCAAAGTGCTGTGTAAGGTCCTGCTAACACTTCAAGTCCGCCCCACATTTCCCACAAAACCTATCTCCAGATCGAGGCTTTGTTCCACATCGAAAGCATGTGGAGACCTCGTGCTCGGTAAAATTGTTTTCTTCTGGCGAATGGGGTAAACTCGAGTATGAGGGCAAAAATCCAGTTCTTAAAAGGCCACTTGCATTACTAAAACTAGTTAATTCCCCTTCTTCGCCCGCACCTCTGTGGCCGTGCACTGGAAGGCTTCTCAGATGGTGAGGGAATCGCAATCCTCCATGGGGTTGCGGAGAAAAAACTCGCACAGAGCTTAAAGGATGTGTCGTTGTCTTAGTAACCCCGTTCAGTGACATCATCGGTAAGGTGGGTGGCATTGTGGAAAGAAGAGTTGGCTTGGCTCCCGGGAATGGAACGCTGGGATAGCTTGATCCTAAAGGGATACTGGGTACGCTAGAGCCTGGCGATACAGGGAGATCCACTGAATGGTTCTTGCCAGCCAGGATACACTCGATTGCCTGTACCACATCACCGCTACATCCTTTCAAAACCAGCTCCAAGACATTCTCCTTATGTGAAGGAAAAACCTTGCTAAGGACTTCCAGCGGATGAGGAGGCTTGCGTCGTTTCAACGCCGATTCACCGAGGCTTTTCTGCAGAAGTTTAATGGTGTAGTCAAAATCATCTTGGTCCCGAAACGTTGAGCTCCATGGCAGCTGTAACGGTGGCCTTTCACTTTCTTTCCTGATGTGGTCAGCACGTGGCTGACAGCTATCGTGCACGTGATAGCCTGGTGACGGAGAGCGTGAAGTTACACCATTAGCGTGAGGCGGAGACGCGCTTCTTGCCATTCGTTTAGA